ATAAAGGCTCCATTTACAAGCCCTCTGGTCACCCAGAACAGAATTACTCATTTGGCTATCCAAAGTGAATTGGACTGTCACCACTCTCTTTCTTCTGGTGAATTATTCTTAGTTCAAGGGGAAAAAGAAATTAATCTTCATATTTTACAATTAAGATTGATTCCCTGAGTCACTTGACATGCTGTAACAACAAAGCAAACACACAGAAATGACCTTTCAGGGAATAGCTATCCATGAGCCCAAGCAATGATGAAATCTCACCTCATTTACCTAACCTTTCTGCAAATATAACCTACCCTCTCAATGCTACTTCAATAAACTTTATCAGCCCCAGTCCTTTAAGTGCCCTTTTTGCTATTATTTAACATTATAAAGCTAGTGTTTCTGCTCAAGCCTCTGTCCCCTCAAGTTCATTCCCAACTGAAGAATAGCAGTTAATTGAGAATGGAAAAACAAGTCCCAGAACAATTATGAAGGTATAATGAAGTTTGAATTAGTACATGCAATTAAACAAAGGTAGGATACATGAAATGTTGAGAATGGAGTTCACTGCTGATATGCGTTTATGGTTAGGTCTCTGCAGCCCTATGCTGAAAAAAGAGAGGAATAAGTACTACTTGTACAGTCAAACCATACCTCCAGGTAACTAGAAATCAGTTTAAAGAAAAAAATCATGGAGGGCTATCCTAGTCCATGTTATTCTAACACATAAATTAAAACATTGTGTAAACATAGGTTTCAACACTCCTTTGATTCGTAGTTGAAAATTACACTTTTCAGATGCCCAGATGGTTCTGGACACATTCAGCAGTACTGAATGCAGTGTGTGCCAGGCCCTCATCCAGTTGCTGGGCTACCAGAGGAACAGGAAGTGAAAGTCCGGACACTCCTGGAGTTCGCCTGCTCCCCTGATGGGTACTTTGAGATAATGCTTTACTGAGTTGAATGTTTATCTCTGCTGCCATTCCAGAGAAGTTCTAGATTCACAATTTTTCCTGGGAAAGTTCTCTACACTGGTTTTCCTGGTTTTGTGTTCTTGCCCTCTCTTACGATTTCTCCAACTAGAGTGTCTCCTCCATGCTCTGAGTGTCAAATCTAACCATTGGAAGCTTTTTCTAACCATTCAGACTCCAAGGGAAACTTTCATCCTCTGAACTTCCATGATATTTAGTAGAAAACCTCTTGTATGGAACTTAACCATAATCTTTTCTGTTTGGTTGGCTATATTTTTGGTTGTATATGTTTTGAATCCTAGAAAAGATATAATTTCCTGCAGTACAGGGGTCATAGTCACACTTGAATTTGGTCACTGCTTGGCAGATTCGCCTCATACATACTGTATTATAGCTCATTTAAGCTGGAAGGGATCATAGGGAACATCCTATTTAAAGAAAAAGCAAGTGGGGATCTAAGATCACATGCTCAGTAAAAGGTGGGAGAGCGGTGTGCACCACGCCCTATGAGTGATATTGTGGGACTTAGTGGATAGCCCTTCCTTGACACACAAGAAGAAACACATTTTTCATGGTTTCCCCCTAAAATGTGATTGAAAGTAGTTTTTTAATCATTTGATCTACCTGGTTAGTCTGGTCAGAGTTTTTGTTTGTCAAAATGAAAGTACCAGTTGCTCTGTTGCCAATTCTAATTAAGAGCTCATTTACCCATGGGCACCTGGAACCATGGGGGATGTAGACTGCATTTACTCATTCAACACATATATGTGGGTAAAAAAAATTAGTATAAATAAGGTAATGTACATACTTCTACATTACAAGATGGAAGGGATGGAAAAATAACTCTAGACTTTCCTCCAATTCCCAATTGTGAGTTCCTTAGTGACCCTGGACATTAAATCCTTCCCCTATCTTCATTTCTTTATTTAAGAAAAACCTCAAACAATATGTAGGATCTGAAGTTCTGTGAAAATCTACAAGCTTAAAGCCTCCTTAGAGTCTTGAAATTGTTTCCAGGACACATTATTAATTAAGGAGTAGTTAACACCTCTACCTCATAGTTTAAGAGGCTTTATTCACATCTAATATTTTCATTATCTTTAATGTGTGCAGTATGCACATGTGGGCTGATGTGTACTTTCACACCATGATTTATTTTGTCCCTGTTCTTCCTCCACAAGCTGCCTGGGATCACCACTCCACCTAAAGTCTTTGGTGGTGCTCCTTTGGCAGCAGGATGAAGTTCGAGTTTTTCAACACAACAGGCAAGGTCTTTTACAACCACCTGCCATGTCCCTCAGAGGTCTGTCTTACTTAGCCTGGCAAGCAGCAAACCCTTGTGGTGCAGCTCCCCTCAGATCCTTCTTCCTGGGCCGTGCAGCCTCAGCAAGTGCTCCCTGTACCCCTTCACATGCAAAGTCTGGAAGTGCAACGTTGTCAGAGGATATTCTTTCTCCCCTTTGATTGTCTCCTTATTTCACTGAATCTCCGAGTCTCCCCTCATTTCAAAGTAAGGATACCCTCTTCATTTTGGAGCTGTGTTCTAGGCAGTATCACAAATGGAAAAATTTTTTTAAATGTAAAAAAAGTAAAGACTTCTAAATGGAATGAAGAGTAAGCTTTTAAGGTGGCCCTAGGGGAGAATAAATATGTCTAGCCAGAAAAATTGCTTTGTTCAGGAATAATTGCTTACAAAGAAAAAGACAGGCATGGTTGCTAGGGCTACAAGAGTCAACCTTGTCCTTGCCTGAAGTCAAAGGCAGGTTGGGAAGGCTGAGCTGTTCAGTCTCAGTAGCAAAAAAAAGAAAGAGAAAAAAAAATGCATGGTGTCTGCTCTGAATAAGCAGGCCGGATGCCTATGAGGATGGAACAGTAAACAGCCTTTCACTATTACAATAAGAGGGCTGTTTTTCAAAAAAGTCTTCCCATAGGGATTTCTTAAAGACGAAACCTGAGGGTGGGAAAGTTTGTCCAAGGATGACCAAAAGGGGAGAGAGAGAGAAGAAACAGCTATATTTTCAGCACACAAGCAACACCACTTGAAACAATGGATTGAATACAGAAGTATCATGAAAGTTCTTAATTTGGCTAGTTGTCTGTATTTCTTAATATAAAGACATTATTAATGTCTGTCCCCTAAGCCTTGTATATTGAACCACTGTGTTATTAGCCAGTAGGAAATAATAATGTAAACAATAGCTGTATACTGACCAGTTGGCCAATCTCCAAATCTTTTAACATACATTCTAAGACAACAGGCTTTCCCAAACTAAATACTGAAATTACTCTCTGTTGTTTTGAAATAGAATATGCAACAACTTAATATTTAAAGGTATTATTTAGAAAATGATAAGCTTGGGATCGAATTTTCCATTATCACAAACTTTCAGTTACTTGCTTTACTCCAGAGAAACACTAAGAATGCGACTGATCTCTTCGCCCACGTGATGGCTGCGTTTTGTTTTTCTACTCTGCCTACAAATCCAAAGGGCGATTCTATGTGGAGTTTATTTATGATGGGTCTTCAACCATGAGGAGAATTTAGTAAGGCAGAGAGGAAAATAATGTCCAGGCTGGAAGAATGAGCAATGTGAACAACAAAAATGAGAAGAATAAAAAATTATAGTGTGCTCAGGAAGTCATGTGTCATTCACAGGGAGTGGAGTGCCTTGCATCCTGGAGGACAGCACTGCCTTTCCTGCCCATACTGAAAGCAAGTAATCAGCAGACCTGTATTGTTCTATTCTTTTAATAGCAGGGTAGAGACTTCTCAAAAGGAAGGAGAGAAAGTGTATTAAAGGACATTATTTCTTCATGGGGTGGGGTGGGGCTCAGTCTCCACTGTGAGACTGTAGGGTAGAGGGAGGTAATAAGTTCAGATAAATAGTGAGGAGAAATTAGGAAGGCATCCAGCCATTGAACTGGTGTTTCAGAGTCATTTTAAATAAAATATACTAATCCTTATTTAAAAATAACTGGTGGAAAAGTGAAAGGTTGGAGAAACTTTTGAGTGGAAGAGCTTGATATTCCTTAACCAAAACACTATTATTTATAAATAGGGAAAACAACTTTCATTTCCTAGGTGGTCAATAAACTTAACTGGGCAGGCATAAAGCACTTCCCTAGTATTAGATGATGTACTTTGGGTCGTTAAAACCTAAATATTCCCTAGGTCCCATAATCTGAACATCACTGTGGCCAGATTGAAGTTCTTCACAGTGAAGCTTTAAGGACTCATCTAAATCAGGGGATGTAGCTTGAAACTTGTTCCTTTGACCCCATCTTTCTATGACAGGCCCCACAGTGGGTGCTGGAATTGGGAGGAGAGGGGCTATCATCTAATCTCAAAGTCACAGGACCAGGATCCCTGCCATTTCAGATCCCCTAGGACTGGACCTCCTGCAATCTCTTGTTTTAGAACACAGTAGGGGAGGGCAGGAAAGCTTTATGAAAGAGCCAGGACAGATGAGGTTTATTTTACTTGTCACCTCAGTCATTTTTTTTCATTAAAGCAGCATTTTTAAGAGTGGGGACTATGTTCTATTCCATGGATCATACTGGGAGCATGGATCATTGCCATTGAACAAGAGGGGTTGAGTGCCGCGCAGCCTGTCGGATGACTAGCAGGAAATGCGTGCCTGCCAGAACACATCATTTCAATTTTGGCTTTCACTGTGCTAATTCCCTGAATGGCAATAACAAGGGGTGGGGGTGGGGCAGGAGGAATGGGAAATAAAAGAGATCTAAGGAACTGAATCTGCAGAGAGAGCAGTTACTAACCAGAGTTTTGTGAAACAGCTCACAGATGCAAGCTGGGAGGCAGAGGGAGGGAACAAGGCTGGGCTTAACAACCTGCTACTGGGATTTAGACAAAGGCGGTTTGAGAGAGGCAGAGAGAATGAGGAGGGATCAGTTGCTAATATCAGCATGGGGACAGAGCCAGCAGCTGGACTCCCGGCATGAAACCGAATAAATTCACAGCGTCTCCTTCAGGGTAGAAATTGCTGGAGTATGTACCAAAACAAGAACTCAGAGAAAAAAGTAAGTTTTGGAAAGGACTTACACATTTTCACCATCTTTGAAATCTCTCTCATCTTTGAGGCATGTCTTCTTCGATGCGGTACTTCTTTATAGTCTCTGTCTCTTGTGTGATCATTTTTATCGTGCTGTATGTGTTCAGTTTTGGGGGAGAGCAGAGTTTCCAGAGGCTGAATAATTCAGACACTCTACTGCTGACTCAAGTTTGCACATCCTTTTTCAAAGGCAAAACCCCTTTCCTGTGGAGAAACAAACTAATGATATATGAGAAGTCTTCTTGCAAAGAATACCTGACCCAGAGCCACTATATCACAGCCCCTTTATCCAAAGAAGAGGCTGAGTTTCCTTTGGCATATATAATGGTCATCCATCACAATTTTAATACCTTTGCAAGGCTCTTCAGAGCTATTTACATGCCACAGAATGTCTACTGTGTTCATGTGGATGAAAAGGCGACAGTTGAATTTAAAGATGCAGTGGAGCAATTACTGAACTGCTTCCCAAATGCTTTTCTGGCTTCCAAGATGGAGCCAGTTGTCTATGGTGGGATTTCCAGGCTCCAGGCTGACCTGAACTGCATCAAAGATCTTGTGGCCTCGGAGATCCCATGGAAGTACGCCATCAACACCTGTGGGCAAGATTTCCCCCTGAAAACCAACAAGGAAATAGTTCAGTATCTGAAAGGATTTAAAGGGAAAAACATTACCCCTGGGGTGTTGCCTCCAGCTCATGCAATTGGCCGGACTAAATATGTCCACCGAGAGCACCTGGGCAAAGAGCTGTCCTATGTGATAAGAACCACAGCTCTGAAACCACCTCCTCCCCATAATCTCACCGTTTACTTTGGCTCTGCCTATGTTGCTCTATCAAGAGAATTTTCCAACTTTGTTCTCCATGACCCACGGGCTGTTGATTTGCTCCAGTGGTCCAAAGACACTTTCAGTCCTGATGAACATTTCTGGGTGACGCTCAATAGGATTCCAGGTATGTGAGAGACCCTATTTCATATGATAGCAGTGTGCCACACTTGAAAGGGGTTTTCAAAGAGCCTGCTTCTTTTTACATGAGTAGAAGATGAAAACTGAAACATACAGTCCTCATCCTAACCTTTTCTAAATGCAGGGTGGTATTTTTTATTTGTTTGTTTATTTGTTTTAAAAGATTTTATTTATTTATTTTTACAGAAAAGGGGAGGAAGGGAGAAAGGGAGAGAAACATCAATCAGTTGCCTCCTGTACACATACCCTGACCTGGGACCAATCCTGCAACCCAGGCATGTGCTCTGATCTGGAATTGAACTAATGACCTGCTTTGCAGGATGATGCTCAACTGAGCCACACGGGTCAGGCCAGGATGGTTTTAATGTGCTAATACAATATTCTAGTGTGGCCAAGTAATACTTTTCAGTTGTTTGCTTTGCAGTTCATGCTCTTTTGCATTTATCATCTTACTGGATTTTTACCACAATAGATATTATTGTTCTCAGTCCTCATTGGAGTTCTTTCTTTCTCCCAAATTTGTCAAACTTGTTCTTACCCCAGGGCCTTTGCCTGGGCCATTCTCCTGCCTACCCCTCTGGTGGCACAGGCTCTTTCTTATCATCCAGATGTCATCTGAGCTGATCACCTCACCCTGTTTTCCTTCAAAGAGTTTATCACCACCTGGAATTATCACATTAACTTATTTGCATGGGTTTGTTCTTGGCCTCTCCTGCATTAACTCCATGAAGTCAGGCCATTTTCTATCTTGTTAACTGCTGTATCCTCAATGCTTAGAACATGTAGTAAATGTTCAATAAGTATGTATTAGATGAGAGAATGAATGAATTGCAAAGTATGCGGCTGTACTATGACACCACAGCTGCCTCCCTAAGACTCAATAAACTGTGAAATATGTGGACCCATGCATGTACCATATTATAGGTGTACCATATTTTAGGCTTAAAAAATAATATATATATATATATATATATATATATATATATATATATATATAATTTTTCTTGAGATAAATAATGTGATTCTAGGAGAAGCTCTTTTCATCAAAATATTTCTACCTTTACTAATGGAGCAGATCAACTATTTTAAAACTATATAAACACATGATAGGATTTCTTCTGAAGGAAACAGCATGCTTTGGACTCAATGAAAAATACAAAATGGATCTCTGATGAACTCGACAGCATTATTATAGCAAGAGAAAAGCAATCATTGTTCTTGTTCTTGGGGGGCTGCCAAGTTGGAAACTCTGGTAGGTGCTCTCAGGCTGCAGGGCAGGGCCTGCTGGGCGATAAACACACCAGCATTCTCTGGAAAATACTGTGTTTGGGCTCTGAATCCCAGGGTAACTGGCCTGGGGAGCAGGGCTGGCTCTCATCCTGTGCATTCCCTCTTTCCTGACCTCCCTCTCCCTATAGCCACCATCCCTTCAACTTTTATCTGTTATTTCCTTCGCTGACATATAATTTGAGACTGTTAGGTACTTAGAAGCTGATTTTCATGGTTAAATATTTATTCCCTTTCCATTTTCACTTTCCCATTAAGATTTACAGTGGTTTGGTTCTAACCATGTGGTTCCTTAGATATCATACTGAGATGAAGGCATTTCATAACTTAGAAAAAGCCTGAACTGTTGCCTTTTAAGAAAAGAAAAACATGGGCTTTGATTATTGTTTTCTGTTGGTTACTTTGACAGAAGGATGGTCAGTCTTATCAATGTCAAATCAGCATACAAAAATCAAGGAAAAAGGAAACTCCCCTCCTAGCCCCAGATTTTTCCTTTCCCAGCCATAATCAAATAAACAAGGTGGGAAACCAAGACTGATACCTAGAAAGATGCAGGAGAGAAAACTGTGTTTGCTATAGGTCTTTGGTGTGGCATGCTAGCTTCTGCCCTGTCACAGTGACAATATAAGCCCATGTAAATCACCTAATGTCTTGGAACTTCAAATCTCCCAGATACAAAATTAGGGCACAGGTAGGGAGACCCTTTTTTGTTTCTGCACCTATCCTTTTTTTCCCCCCAAAAGACACAATGCCCAGAACCACCTAAACACCCACCATACAACTATTGGGAATTTTTAAGAAAGTGAAAATTCTGGGGAGTCTGGACTCCAAATTGCCCATTAGCTCTGGCGAATGCAGTCCACTTCCATTGCAGGAAATTGGGGGTGAGAGCTCTGCCAAGAGAGCATCTCTTCCAGGAGGCAGGTGAGCACAGGCCAGCCAGTGGGCAGTCAGGTCTGATCCTGCAAGGCAAGCTGTTCAGGATAATGTGACATTTCCTGGGGCTTTGCCTCCTTCCTTTCTTAGAGTCTGGATGGCATCCTGGTTCAGGGACACAGCAAAAGAATATTCTGCTTGTAGGTGGAGCCTTCCCAAATTACAAGTGATTAAAGAAAAAAATTCTCAGACACTCTAGCCTCTGTGCTGCTTCTCTCTCATCTTCAAAGGCAATGTACAATTCAGTCTCATGCTCCAGTATTCCTGTCCATTTTCATGCTTGTGCATTCCTTGTGATTTAAGATTTCCTGTATGAATCTGCTTCTTTATTATTAGACAAGCTTTAACCATATCAGCTCTTCTTTCTATTTTCAATGTCATGTTTTAAAGGTAAAGTTCTTCAGTAAATACAGCATAAGCATCCCTTCTGCAAATGTACAAGTCAGAGAGTGCTGTTCCTCCCTACCTCAACATTTCCTTCTCTCTTTTTCCTAAATACCCTAAATTAAAGTGTTTGTGTTAGAAACACCCTGTATAGGCACATCAGATTCCCCCAAACACCCACTAGAGTACTATTCCTAAGAAAATGATTAGTACTCCACAGTGAGATATCAGAAAACAAAGTGAAAATAGTTTAAAATCAGTGGGCCTCAATAAAAAGGTGATTTATAGAGGTAGCACTAAATTGCATATCTTCACACTGCTCTTTTTTATGTTGTCCCTCTATTGAGAAAATGACTTCCTTCTTAGTTTTTAACCCTAGGCTTTTCCTGTAGTGCATTAGAAAAAGAAATGGTGGGGCCAGAGAGAGTCCTTGAGAGCCAAAGTCTCACATCCTTCTTCAGGGGAGGCCTGACAGAGTGGCTGTCATCCATCCTCTGTGGCTCATGGTCAGACACATGGTCCCTCCCTCTGGCCATGTTCTCATAGGAAACCTCCCAGGGGCACACATTTCTTTGACTCACACTAAAACATCCAGCTCTGCTAGCAGTACCTAACCCCAAATTCTGGTGCATGCTTATATTTTCTAACTTCTCAGATTTTTTTAATCATTGCTACTGTGTCACCTTAAGACAAGCCTCTTTTCTCTACCTTTTCTGGTTATTCCTCTAACCAGAGGTTAGACACAGGGGTGTCAAACTCATTTTCACCGGGGGCCACATCAGCCTTGCGGTTGCCTTCAAAGGGCTGAATGTAACTTTAGGATGTATAAATGTAACTACTCCTTACCCAGGGGCAAGGAGCTGCAGCCTGGTAGAAGCAAGGTGCCAGGCCAGATAAAACAAGGTAGAGGGCCAGACTCGGCTCGTGGGCCTTGTGTTTGCCATCTGTGCTCTAACATGTTTTTTTGCCTACCTGCCCCAGGGCAGAGTGTCAAAGCCATCTAGATTTTTTGTGTGTATCATTTTTTTTTATTATTGTTCAAGTACAATTGTCTCCACTTTCACCCCCTCCCCTGCCTCATCTCTATCTGGACTTTTGATCAAGTCTTGTCAAATTGTTCGGTATGGGCAGAAGCTTGTAGTAGTCTAGTTTTTTGTTGCCTTCCTATGGTTAAATTGTCCTCCTGTCCACTTCAGAGAGGGTCCATTTCTACCAAAAAGGCAAAGCTGCTACAGGATTTGGCTTCAGCCACTTTTTTCTCTCACTGCATAAGTTTGTTCTTGTGAAGTTTTGCTCATGCATTACTCTGACCTTTCTCATGCCATGATGTTTTTCTTCCATAAGAATGTTTTCATTTGCTTCTCTTCCTTTTTCTACTTTGTGTATATTTTTTTCAGAACTCCTTTGTCAAATAAATTATCTCAACCTCAGAAGTGGCCACATGATCACATTTCCTCATTTTTCAATTCTAAAAATAGCGTATTTCCTACTTTGATTCACTTTGCTTTTTAAACTTTGAGTTTTATTTATATGTGCACGTTCTTTGGGAATGTGGTATGACTTTTTGAGTTACAAGTGACAGAAATGCAACTCAACGTTGCTTAAACAGACATCAGAACTTACTGAGTCACAGAATTAAGATGTTCAAGGGTAAGGGCTCCAAATAAAACTGGATCCAAAGTTCAAACAATGTATTCAGGACTCTTTCTTGCCAGGTCACCTCTCTGTTTTCCCAGGTCTGAGGGTGGGTCCTGGGAATGGGTCTTTCAGTGCAAAAACCAGGAATGTCCCAGACAAACTGGGATGGGTTGGTCACCTTACCTCTCTGCCTCTGTCCCTTTAGGTCTCACTGAGGCAGGTCCTCCCCCCATGGTGTCAGATGGTCAGACATAGCTCCAGGTGTTTGGTTCTGACAGCTGGCACTTCTAGGGGAAAAGAAAGTTGTTTGCCTGCTAGTTCTAGCAACAGTCAGGGGAGTCCTCAGACTGGGTCTGCTTGTTCCAAATCCCTATCCCTAAATAAATCAGGGGCATGAGGAATGCTGCCAGCCTTTCTTGGGTTGTTCTCTCACACCAGAGCTAGGGGTTGGGGTGGGCTCTGGTGGAGGACAGTTACCTAGCATGACGCTGGGCAGGTGGAAGCACAGGCCACTGCAGGATGGTTCCTTGTCCTAGAGGCAGTGTTGTTGGACCATCTGCACACATCAGAGGGGCAAGATTTAATGCAGCGATTTTCAACCTTTTTCATCTCATGGCACACATAGAGTAATTACTAAAATTCTGCAGCACACTGAAAAATGTGTTATTATGTTTTTTGCCGATCTGACAAAAAATAGGTGTAATTTTGATTCATTCACTCTGGCGGCAATTGTTGTGTAGG